GGCGCCGCCCGCCCCGCGCAGCACATCCACTGCCGCCCGTGCACTGCCAGTGCTCAGGCGCCTTGAAAAGTGCTGTAAATACCCACGAGTCAGGTGCAGGGGGGAAGGGTTTTCCGCTCCTCCAATCGCTTCGGGATGTTCTCAAGCACTTTTCCAAAGAGGCTGTTTTTCTGGGAGGGCTCTGGGGCTGCTGGTTCAGGGATCCAATCCCGCTCGGAGGGTTTGGTTCAGGTTTCAGCTCCTCCCGCTGGAGACAGCTGTGAACGGGGGGAGCGAGCTCTGCGCGGAGCGCGTTACCCTGCTCCGAAGTGGGGGGATGTGGCTCTGTAGGACTGCAGGCTAGAAAAATGTGTTGGTCAAAGTGCTTGAAAATAAAGGTCAGTTTACTGATTCAGCTGCATTCTTCCTTTTCTTTCTGACGGAGACCTGGATAAGTCATAGGCACTGAACCTTCTTTTTCTTCTTCCCCCTCACTTGTTTTTCTTTTTTTTCCCCCTTTTTCCTTCCTCTTTTCTTCTTTTTCTTTCTTTCCTTTTTTTTGTTTTTTTTTTTAACGAGTCTGGTTTCCAGATGTTTGATATAAGAATTACAATGGAACAAACTGTTCATTAAGGGCAGAAGGGATACACACGTACTTTCACACACACACACACACACACACACACACACACACACACAGAGACACACACACACGACACATTAGAAGATAACAAGTTAGCCAGCAGAGCTAATGGAAGTGTTTGAACTCACTAGGTGCCTGCTCCATTTGGGAGCTACCTTTGAATAGTTGCATTTAGGAAGGGCTGGAGACAGCAGCCTGGCTCCCTAACCTGCAGGTTTCCAGGCAGGAGGACCAGAGAGATACTGCAAGCGAGTTCAAGGAGAGGAAGAAACCCTTGAAAAGATTACATTTCACAGCAGGGTGATAGGTTTTATATAATATCCATACTGCTTCAGACTGTTCATATGAATAATGCTTTCTCTTTTACGTTAAAAATCTACAGAATGCAAAACCTCAACCTTTCCTTCCTTGGAAGTAGTTCTGTCACTCTTTTGCCTATCCTCTTAGGACACTGCCAAGGAAATTTTCCTAATTATCCAAAGCAGTTAAAAGATACATAGATAAACAACCACCCCAAAATTATAGACTGGGTAATTTAAATGTCTCTTAAATGTCCTTCTCCATTAGTATATGTAGGACCTCTTGATTTCCTATGAAGGTATAATCTGTGTTATGTATTTCATTTAAGATGAAAGTCTCCTAAATGTGCCACAGAGTTTCTGGTTATCTAGATTGATTTAGAGGAGATATTTAGTCACAGATACGTCTTTTAATTTTAAAATATTTGCATTTTGGAAATACGGACAGCTGAATGGTGGTAAATTTCTAACACAAATTACACTCTGATTGACTCTTGATGTGCCCTCTCCACCCTTTCCCCCCCTCCCTGTGTATTAAGTACACCTGCCTGGGCACATACCGGTGTGCCGTGCCGGTGTGACGCTAGGGCTCCCTCCTGTTGGGAGGAGGCACAGAAGGGTGTTTTACAGAGACCACCCCAGCCCGTTTTTGCAGCAGGTGTTGGAATAGATGTGAAGAAAAAAAAAATCCCTATGGGGTCTGTTAAGACATGCAGGAGCAAAGTGCTTTGTCAAGCTGCATGACTTCTTAATCTTGGGGAATGCCAAAACAAGTGCAGGGAAAGTTAGCCATTTTCAAGAACTGATTAAAAAGATTCATCTGTTCAGCATCTAACTCTGGTGTCTGTTAGTGAAGGTGTCACGTGGATTTCCAAGTGGCAGGGAACAATCCCAGGCTATGGGAGGAAAGGGAAAGTGGCAAGGAAGGGGACTTCCCAGGTACCTGTTTTGCAGCAGGGGCAAAGGAACAGAAGTGGCTCTTCCCAGAAGGGAGAGCAGTGCTTGCAGAGACACAAGCCATTACTTTCCTCAACTCCACAAAAATGAAGAAATCCACAAAGCATTTTTAAAAGGTTGCATTTGTGGTCCTCCTACCCTCTCAGCTCTGTTCCATCTGAGAAGTCCCTATCCCCTGCCAACTCTGGGAAAGCATTGCATTTCAGGATGTGAGGCATTAGTCTGTATCTAAATAGTCTGTTACATGAGCTGTGATTCAGACCTTGAGCTGGTTTAAGTTTGTGTGTTGAAATGAATGGAGCCATGCAGATTTTCACTGGCTCAGGATCTGTTCTTTTGTATGTTTGTTAAAAGTAAAGGGTCTGATTCACCAGTGAGGTACTCCCTCTCGGGGCATTTTCACCAGCATAACACCGGAGTGATGCAGTTTAAATTAATTGCACTTATATAAATCACAGGAACGTAAGCAGTTAGCCCACTGGCTGAGCTGATTGAAGGATGTTAAGAATAGGACAGAAGGCATGTTATTACACGGTCCTGAAAGGATATTAGCAGCACATACTACCTGAGTGAGGTCTGCTGTCAAAAAAAGGGAGAGTCTGCATGAGGAGTGGGTGAGTCAGAGTAAACAGGTGTTCTGGGTGTTTATGGCAAATGTGGATGAGAGGGCACTTGGAGATGTGTGGCATCCTTCCTTGTGCAGAGAAGGCAGCACAAAGGTTGAGTGCAGAAAACAGGAGGTTTCCCTTCCTTGAAGGAGCCGGGAAGGTGTGGAGGATGGCAGGTGGCTCTGATGATCACATTGCCTGCAGGCAAAGTCTTGCACCCACCTCTGAAAAATCAGGCCTAGACCGTCCCTCTCACATTTTACAATTAGTTGGTCTTTTAGAGATTCTTTATGTTTTTACTTTGAAAGCTCACGTAAAGCTGTCTTCTTAATGCCACTGTGCTGCTAATTGCCACTCTGCAAAGTGCATAGGAAATGATCCAAGCAATTCTGCTGAATTCTGCTGCCTGAAACCTTGGCTTATGCTTTGCAGCTACTAAATGATTAGGACGAGAGCTTCAACCATGCAGCAGAAATAGCTTTTTTCCCTCTTTTTTTTTTTTTTTTTTTTTTTACAGCAGGCCACTTGTTCATGTGCATAGATAACAAACCGTGGGCCTCACTTTAGTCTCCCTGTTTCTGACAGGTCTACCAAATCCCTTTTCTTGTCAGGCTTTCTGAGAAGGGCAGAAACATCATTTCTTGGCCTTCTGGAAATGGGAGGGTGCCAGAGCTATGCTTGCTATCAAAGAGGGAAGAAGGACACAAGCTAAGCCATCATCAGCTTAGTTTTTCTCATGACAGCATTTATGTCCTTACTAAGCATCAATATTAGCAAGAGAGTGGATCAGAAAATGTTAAGTATCTGAATAAACCACAGCAGAATCAAGAAAAATAGTTTGAGAATATTAAATAAGTTATGTTGGGATCACTGTTCCCATATTTCTTAGGCAGCACTCTTAAGCACATTTTGACTGCCGTGGAGTCCAGGGAAGGCAGCACAGCGAGGTTTGGAAGAACCCCCAGGAGGCACTGAGCCCAGTGGAGCATACCAAAAATAGCTCTGGAGGTTTATTGGTGCAGGTGACGACTTCATCCTGGAAGAGGTAAAAGCTCAAGTAACTCGCACCTACAGTGTAGCTCATGCAATTCATAAACCTCCTACATTTCAAAGGAAAGTGTGAAATGGTTAATATAAGAAAAAAGAAAAGAAAAAAAAAGGTGAGTTTTCAATAGTCAGTTGAATGTAGAACATATCAGCTCAGCTTCAGTGTTAACATATGCTTTCATATTTCCCCCTTAGTGCCAGCTGATACATCCTGGAAAATAAAGATACGGTGTAACTTTCAGAAGCAGGAAAGGTTTAGTAACACTAAAAGCTGAGGAATACCTCAAATGTGATTAGACTGGATGCCAGAGAGAAATAAGCTGAAAATTAACAGAGTAGAGCCAAATTATTAGGCAATGATGTTTCTTTCCATTGTCCCAATATATATGCCATAATAAATTTTGAAACACAGTTTTACAATACCTTTTCTTTCATGGCTTGCTCATCCTTCCAAATGCTGACCTTAACTATCAGTAGAAATGGCAGGTAATTTAAAGAAGGACCATTATGAAATCATGTTAGGATCCAGTCTTGCAGGCTGTGAGTTCAGTAGATCAGGATAAATCCGTGCATTTTGAAAGTTTTTCTCAGTCAAGTAAAAAATATCCACATTTTGAATGTTTGCACCAGTAGATAGGGTTTTTTTCCCTAAAATCAGTAACTTTGTCAGAGTTTAGACCTATTTGAGAGATGATGATTGAACAGCTAAAGTCTAATTCAGTCTGAACTTTCTAAGAAGTCAAAGCTCTTTAAAGTGGGTCTTGAAGAGATCTAAGCCCATCTATATTTTATACTTATCTATATGAAAATAGTTTTTCTTACAAAGAAAATTGCATTTATTAATAGATGCAAAATGGTTGCTTTTAAATCAACCAGCTCAAACAGTTCTGGCTTCTGTGTGCTCTCTCCTTCACACCTGTGTAACTTCACTGACTTAAGAGGGGTCAATTTAGAGTCAAATTAGCCCATAATGAAGGAACCTGGTCATAGTTCAATTTTCCTACATTGTTTCTACATGAAGATATTTTAACAACGGGCCAAATTCCCCTGTCATTCCCATCTGCAATATCTCCACTGGCTACAGCTGAGCTATTTCAGATTTACTCAAGCAGAACTGAGATGTGATGCTGGTCCAATAAATTCAACTTTGTTTATGCGTGTAGTACTGTGACAAGTATTCGTTAAACTAAAGTCTGTTACATCCCAGCTCAAGCTATTGCACTCTGGAAAGCAATACTGGTCTTCCAGTGTGCCGCTGCATTATTCATGTGAGGAACAAAAGGCTTGAAAACGCTGACTTCGGGATCCGGGAAGCGTCCGAGGACTTGCGTTATGTGGTTAGAAAGAGCCACCTGCTGGGCACAGCCGCCTCCGAGCGAGAGATGCT